GTTATGGATTGGATCTAGCATCTGAAGGTACGAACTGCGCGCTGACCCGTATACCATAGAACCATAATCCAGTTTTGTTCGAATAAGTGATCTGTATAGGCGCAAAAGCATTTCACGATCCGCTCCCCAATCAGTATGAGAAAGGACTCGTATAATGTTTAACGCCTTGGAACACTTATCCTTCAGATACTTTATATGTGGTATGAAAGAGAGTTTCGAATCAAAAATGAGGCCGAGAAATTTAGTCTGTTCAACAACAGGAATTCTAGTGCCATCGAGTGTTAGATTTGGGTCATTGTGTGCTTTTCGTTTTTGACAGAAATGCATGCACACAGTTTTGGATTTAGAGAATTTGAAGCCGTTTTCGTCTGCCCAATTTTGTAGTTTGTTTAAACTCTGTTGAAGTTGTCGTTCTATCGTGTGCATGTTCTTAGATCTGTAACAGATCAAGAAGTCATCCACAAATAACGACCCTTCTGTTGATTGACCAAGACATTTGACTATATCATTGATTTTAAGTCCAAACAGTGTGACTGATAGGATTCCACCCTGTGGGACTCCCATTTCCTGTTTAGACGTTTCAGAAAAAGTTGAACCAACACGGACTTTGAAGTGTCTATCTGATAGGTAATTAGATATAAAATTGGGAAGGTTTCCACGTACGCCAAGGTCGTGAAGATCTTTCATGATGCCATACTGCCATGTAGTATCATAGGCCTTCTCAATATCAAAGAACACGGCGACAAGGTGTTCCTTCTTGGCGAAAACCTCTCGAATGAATGTCTCTAATCTGATGAGATGGTCATTTGTCCCTCTTCTATTTCTAAAACCACTTTGAAGAGGGGATATTATATCGTTGGCCTCAAGAAACCAAACCAGTCTAGTGTTTATCATTCGTTCTAGAGTTTTACATAGTTGTTTGGGTCAGTAGCATCCTTTCCCGGTTTTGGGATAGATATAATTGTGGAGTTTTCCACGAATCGGGAATCTTTCCGGAAGCGTAAACTTTGTTGAATATGTAAAGAAGGCATGTTAGTGACGAGTGCGGTAAGTGCTTTAGAAATTGATATGGAATATCATCAGGACCTGAAGCAGTGTCCTGTTATTTTCTAAGCGAATCAACAAGTTATGGTAGGGTAAATTGCTCATTATAACTTTCTTTGTTTGATGATTTGAAATTGAGCCGGTTTTTTTCTCTTTTTTTCTTTAAAGACTGGAATTTTCGAGAGTGGTTTAAAGGGGATGAGTTTTTAGCTATTTTTTTTGCAAATGCATCAGCGATTTCAGACATAGACGAAAAAAAAAATGTTTTTATTAATGAGATGGGAGGATGTTGCCTTTTTCTTTTTCCCACTTATTTTCCGAATCATATCCCATACTTTTTTTGAGGACGTGTTTGATGATATCTTGGATACATATTCTCTCCAGCAGTTTCTTTTGTCAATTTTAATTGATCGCCGAGCCTTTAAATTCACTGTAGTTTGAAGGAGTTGGGCAATTGAAGTAGCGTCTTAGAGCAGCTACCCGATTACTGCGTGTTTTAAAAGATTCTTCAGATAAAAGGAACTTCGTAGGTTTTGGAGCGGATTTTGGAATTGTCTTTTGGGCAATAGAAGTGAGTGTTTCAGTAAAAGTTTTGATAGGGTCGTCGAGGTTAGTAAACTTGTCTATGGTTTGTTTTTCAATGCACATGTGTTGGAACTGGACCCAATCTGCCTTGTGCATATTCCATCGAGGTAGAGGATCATCAAGAGGAGTCCCAATATTCTTAAGAAAAATTGGGAAGTGGTCACTCCCACAAAGATCATCATTTACCCTCCAGTCATAATCAAGCAGAACGGATGGATGGCATAATGATAGATCAATGTGGGTACGAGAGCCTGTAGCAGGGTGTAAATAGGAAGTGGTATTGTTGTTAAAAAGGCACAAGTTGTTTTTATCTATAAATTCCCCAATACGTCTTCCTCTCTCGTCTGTGTTGGGAGAGCCCCACAGGCTATTATGACCATTAAAATCACCGAGGATTATGAATGGTGTTGGGAGCTGGGAGACGATGTTATTGAGTCGCTCACAAGTGAAAACAATATTCGGAGGGAGATAAATTGAACAGAAGGTTATTTGTCTGTGTAATGTTGCACAGACAGCAACAGCCTGTAAATTTGTGTTTAACTTGATCATTCTGTGAGGAATATTTTTATGGGCAGCTTCCGCTGCGCCACCTGCTGCTCTGCTAACTACAGTTGGAATGTTAGTGTAGAGTGAGACATTTCTAAGCGTGATTGGGTTTTTGAGCATGATTTCTTGTAGACAAAAAATGGCGGGTCTAAATTCTTTTGATAGATTCTGAAATTCTTCTATATTTGCCTTTAATCCGCGGATGTTCCATTGGATAATTGTATTATTAATTTTTTGCTATTTTGGCTGGATTTCGATGGAGTCGAAGCACGAAGCGCTGAGGCATTCGTCTCCATCTCATCATCGAAACATAGTAGGACATTGAACCGGTTTGTAGGG